TATATATATATATATATGTATATATATATATATATATGTATATATTTGTGTGGATTTCTGATTTTATTTGAGTCTGGTCCCATCTGCACCAAACATATCTGAATTCCTTTCTCTTTTTTTATTTTATTTTATTTTTTAAGGTTTGCACCTAAGTGTTGGCAGCAACAAGGAAAAGCACATTAAAAATAGACATCTTTAAATAGCCGTTCAGCTGTTCTAAGTGCAGCACAGTCGAAAACAGTAAATTCAAGTCATTATTTCCTCACCCCCCCAACCCACGTCTCATACACAGATTACAAGGAAAACAACTGAATCAGTTAAAAAAACTAAACGAGTCGTTGATCAGACAGAAACAAGAAACTGCAGCCACACTGTAACATCCAAAAATAGTCTTTTTAGGTTCAAATATATATATTTTTTACTTTTGCCAATGAACTGCTGGCATTCTATTTCAATCTAAGTAGATTTAATATACTGCTGAGGTGTAATTTGTGTTACATCTTTTTAAAATCCCCCTGATGTGCCTGAACACTGCGTCAAACCTCTCCGGGTAAAAAAAAATCTGACATCCGCTGTCATTTGGCACGTTGGAGGCTGTCGCTGGCTGCCTCGGCGGGATGTCCGTCGCTCGCGCTGGTGGATGCACCGTCGAGCGCAGCAGCTTCGATGTCGGCCATCACGTCCCCGTGGTTATTGTTGTTGTTCTTGTTGTTGTGGACACCAGGGAGCCTGTGGCTGTTGTTCTGGACCACAGCCGGGTGGCTGAGCTTCAGCTCCTCCAATTTCTTCCACAGCTCGTCCCTCTCCTGCTCCTTCTTCTTCTCCCTGGGATTGATTTATTTTTTAATAAAATATTAATGAAACTGTAGCATTTTAACTTTAAATCACTTCAAGACAATGTGTGAAAAAATATTTCCTGCTACAAAATGAGTCAAAACCAGTTTTTGTAACTAGGCCTGTCACGATAACAAATTTTGCAGGGCGATTAATTGTCTCAGAAATTACTGCGATAAACGATAATATTGTTTGAAATTTGACAATGTTGGTTATTTTGTTTGGAGTGTAGTACCTTTTTTGAACACTAGATCGCAGTATAAGGCTGTTTGAATCGAAGGATGGATAGTGAGGGAGCAACATCTTGTGTCATCAACACACCTCCAGCAAACCGACACCTGGTTATCTTCCCTTGAGCACCGGCTGGGGATGACGTCAGCTGCCCTGCAGACGGAGCGTACTGCAGGGGCCGACAGCGCCGTTAGCGAACAGCCGCTACGAGAGCGGAGCGAGCCGAAGGTCAGAGGGCCCACAGTCTCTTCCCGCCCCTGAACGTGTACGCCAACAGCGTAACGTGTTGTTCGCTGCGGCCGTCTGGAACGCATGCTGGTGAGCTCAGTTGGAGAGCGGTGTCACCGTCTAGGTTACGCTAACTGGAGGCACGGGACGCCGGTCCACCTGGACATCTTGCTCCGATGAAGCCTCCGTCAGGCTCGGCTCCAGGGGGCACTAAGGGAATTTCTGCTCGGTGAACCCCTGCTCTGGAGATGGGTGCAGATTGTGGAGACCGGCCCCCCAATCTACCAGGAAAACCGGCTGTGGCCTCGCCCGTAAGACGTCCTGTTGGGAAAACGAGGCCAGATGGATCAGACGGTGAGCCGGAATGGAACCTAGTAAAAACAACCTTCCCGCCGGATCATCCGAACTGGCGAGAAAGGCGTGGGACGTAAAAAAGGGTCCCTTCATGTCAGCCGCCTCCTGGGTTATGCCGGGCAACCCCAGAGGGCGCCGTGGGCCGGGAGCGGTGTGATCGCCGATGCGAAACGAGGTGGGATGAGGTGAGCATTCGCTCAGCCCCCCTCCACCGACACTACGCTCTCCAGGAGGGAATGAGCAGCGGGGGGCTGCAGCCGAGCGCTGCCTGTCCTGGAGGAACCATTTGATTCGCTCCGAGAGTCGGCGATAAGAGGAAAATTATAAGATGGCGTTGTCCAGCGTGTAGTGACCTGTCACTGAGAAATATTCCTCGGCGCTTACCTTGAAACAAGACTGCTCGACAGCTTCTCCTCGGGGAGGAGAGCTCACCGGGACGACCGGAGGTCGACGTGCCGGGCCAAGCATTCTTAACAAAGGTTGGTCATCTACACAACTTTCCTTCTTCTTCTTCTGACAGTGCTATTAGCTTGTTGAAGAAAAAATGGGAGCCGATTTCCCGCTCTTAACGTAATTTATACGGACCGGGTGAGGTCCACACAGCAGGTGGACGTGGACTAAATTTTTCAGTGCAATGCTTCGCATATCGGGATAAACCCATCAGCGACAGCCTTAAAGGGCGAAGCCTATACGAAATAGAACTGTAGTTTGATATCTGCAAAGTTAGCTGCGTTAGGGCCTCCTTTGTGTGTTTTGATTGGGTTGCCTGTGGCTGCCATCTTCAATTGGGTTATTTTTTAAAGTTAACCCGTTGTAGAGGATCTAATAAATACAGGATTGCAGATATCGGGGGTAATTGTGACTGAGTTTGATCGGACAACGTAGAACGTCTCAACTATTTGACAAAAAAAGTTGAGCACTTTAAGAAGCGAGAAGCAGAAAAGTTTGATCAACATCTTCGACCAATTGGTTAAAATGTGTTAAAGTGTCTAAACTGAAGGAACAAGTGATATCTATGTTTTTACAGAGACAGAGGTCGTTCAGAATATGTAGCAGAAAAACTAAAGTCTCTGTCTGATCGTGACTTTAGTCAATAATCATGTGCCAGACTGAGACAAGTTTGGGTTTTAAACAAACACAGAAACGGCTGATTAATCTACCGGGAAGCTCGAGTTTTAACTGAACAGATTGTTGTGTAAAACGTTTCTCATTCAGCTGCGATCAAAAGTGTTTTCTCTATGAAAACGTGGCAGAGTTCAACATATTTAAAAAATAAAAACTGTGCTACAATGTGCCTAAACTTCTAATAAAGGCCAAAGTTTTTAAAATAAAAAGGGTATAAAACAAATAATTTCACCTTAATCTCAATAAACATTTAGAAAAAGTCATTTTTAACCAGATAGAAGTTTGTTCTTTATGCAAATTGTAATAGTGAATATTAATTTTCAGTACGGTCCAAAGAGATCAAACCTTCTTTGTTTTAATTAGTTATTTCTACAAATCCAAAGCTCATCAGAAAATCCCATTACAGTAGTCCCTCGATACTTTGCAGTTCGATTGTTGCGAACTTGCTCTTTCAAGGTTTTTCCCAAAGCAAGATTGTATACGACTAAAATAAATAAAGTATAAAAAAAATTGTACACGACACACGATTGTCAATTTTAATGACTCATGTAATTGGGACAGTACGAGATACAGTAAAAAGTTAACGAAAAAATACTTCAGATAGGCTCCGCCATTTTGTAGTTTTCTCTCAATAAGCCTACACTGCCAGTCAAAAGGACTACATTACCCAGAAGCCCTGTTAGTGCTTCCAGTCATTGCTTTTTGCTGAAATGGAGGGAAAATTTTGATCCGATCTGAAAAAGTTTGGTCCTTATTCATAATGACTTTGGCGCTCAGTGGATGCAGAGACAATTAGAACCAAACCAGAACCGGACCAGAACTGGACTTCCAGCCTCATCGGTCAATCTGAGCGCTGCTTGTTGGCCCATGAGGCCTCTCAAGCGAGGAGGCTGCTTGTAGGTTCAGTGTTTTCTCTGGAGCTCACCGGGACCTTTTTCATCTGGATTTGGACTAAGTCGGGACCCATTGTGTGGTCAGACACAAAGTCTGCAGAGAGCCGATCAGAACCAGACCAGAATCTGATCAAGGCTCGTTAGTAGTACCCATATAAAATTTTGCAGTACTGTGCAGTACATATACTGTATGCATGTTGTTAAAATTACGTAGGTTTAAGAGTTTCGAAAATTGCAAGAATGTGGGAAGGGTTTATAAAACCTTAAAATACAGATGAATACTAAAATAAATAGTGTTTCTACTTCGTGGTTTTTCCCTTATTATGGGTGGTGGTGGTGGAGGTCTGGTACATAACCCCCGGGATAAACGAGGGACTACAGTATTTTATGAAAATGCTCGCTAATCATCTCCTAAAGCTTCAAGTTTTCTCATCGTAGGACGAGTAAAACCCTCACCGCTGTCTGTCCGTCTTGTAGGAGGAGGTGAGCTCATCGAACAGCGCGCAGTTCATCTCCATCAGAGTCTTCAACACGTTGTAGACCAGAGCTACGATTGTCCTGAGACACACACAGTAAACCAAGTAAAGCTGAGAAGAAAAACAAGTCAACACATTTATGATAATTATGGTACTTCGGTTCTTTACATTTGGCTCAGACTTTCTCGTACATGTTAAAGTAGTCTTTGAAAATAATTTTCCAGGTTACCCATTTTGTTTTTTCCAGAAATATTTGCCCTTTAGCTTCTTTTACACCTAATTTCAGTCCAGCCAAAGATGCAGCTGACCATTTTCAGAGGAACAATTTAAGTTTAGGGCACCGAGCTCCGACTTGTAAAGTTTTCAGCACAGAATCAGTGTTTTATTCGCCTGCAGCAAAAAATGTAAAAAATAATCAACCAAAAATTGAATTTTTAGGATATTTGTGGCAAAATTGAGTGTTGACATGGTTTTTTATGCATTTATAAAAATATTAAACACAAGACGATTTGATGTTTTTTAATGGTATTTTTGCATCAATTAAGTGATTTTCAAATATCTAATACCTTTTATAAAGATGCATTTGTGTCTGTTTGCGTACAAGTACCACAGGAATGTCTCAGAAAGGCAGAAAATGTACTAAAAACAAACAAAAAAAAAATCTGTGCTAAATCAAGTGTGAAGTACTGTGGTGCTCCCTTTAGTTTAGGAACACTCCTGCGCCGACTGTGATTTCGAACCCTCGGTTATTCAGAAACATTCAGCTGAAGGAAACCAGCTGCACGTACTGGTTCCAGTGCTCTTTGGAGATTTTGTACAGGCTGCCGAACATGATGGGAAGGATCTTGTCGATGTTCTCCTCGATGAGGCTGAGGATGTACTCGTTATTCCAAAAGTACAGCGAACGTTCTGCTACCTGTGAGTACAGACAGGAAGTACAGTACTAAATACAGGAAGTACAGTACTACAGACAGGAAGTACAGCTGCTATAAAAGTAAAATCAACGCAGAATCAGACCAACAGAGAACTGAGGTTGTTGGTTTGAAACCCCAAAATGACCCATTTATGTTCATATGTAACCTGTACAAGAAGTATATTACAACTGCACTTTATGTGTGTTTGGTCAATATAATATTTATTTAGTTTAAATACTAAGAAAATATTCAAAATAAAGCTGAAGACTCCCTAATCAATCATTTTGTTTAGTTACTTCAAAAATAAACATTTAGGATTAATTGAAGCTTGAGTTCATGGAAATGATATCCAAGTACTGAACATTTTAAAATTAAATGATTTTTTTTTTAAGTGTTTTACTCGTACCTGAAAATGTGGGTTGGCCACACATTTACTGATCTGTTTAAACAACGGCTCCTGGATCTTTTTGAACTGTGTCGGTTCGATGACGTCCAGAATCTCCTCGAGTTCTCCCAGAAACATCACCTGAGCGGGAGACATAAATATTAAAACTCTGAGCACCGTGGACGCGCTCAGGTGGACAGAGATCTGCAGAATACCTCCTTCTGGCTGCACGTTTTCGGCCAAAACTTCAACAAGCCACGGATCACCTGCAGAGAAAACATGTATGTTCAAATGGACAGTTCGTTTCTACTGTGGTGCTTTAAGTGGAAGATTAAAAATAAAAGTACCGGCTCTGTCAGCGTGGGGTCTTTCTCCAGGAACTGGACCACACAGTAAGCCAGCTAAAGGATCCCAGAAGAACAAGAGAAACAAAATGAGACGATTTTCATTTTCAAACCACCAGACGGAGCTACAACACAGAGACAAGAACGTCAACGCCTGCTGGGGCATTCTTTACAAGCAGCTGGAAGGTTCAGCTGTTCAGCTGGCAGCAAAAACACAAACGAAAACATTCCTTCTGATCCGGTTTTCTACCTGCGCGTGGAAAAGGGCCAGTCCTTTAGCTGTATGTAACGGGATGAGCACCTTCATCAGGAACTGCTTGTGCTCCACTTTCAGAGGCAGCGCAAAACCGTTGATGATACTGTAAACAAACAAACAAAAACAAGAACGGAACAGATTTGGCAAATATCAGAAAACTAAGACGTTCATCCGCAACCAAACAGTTTACTCAGCTTTCATTTTAAACTTTACAAAGGTTTAAAAATGCTCAGAACTGACGACTCGTCACAATATCTATCATGATTTCTTACATCACATGACGTCCTCGTAAAGCCTTTTTATGATTTATTTAAGGCCTTGTTTATTCAACAAGTTGCAGACAAAACTAATTTTATTTACCAACAAACACATTAAAGGAAAGCATGAAATCCTTGTCCTGCAGAAGCTATAATCTGCTGAAGCGTCGTGTTCTGACATGTGCTGAACTAATTAATAATCAGTTTATAAACCATCGTACCTATTAGTCTATTACTCACCTTCCCAGAATCTCCAGCAGTTCTCCTACACCATTGAAGTGTTCAGTTTCATAGATGAACCTGCAAAAGGCAGCGTGGACACGTCACAACAGAAACATAGAGTCCGGGGGCGTTTCTTCTACATATTATTATTCTGATTTAGAAATTGACTCGTCTATATCTGCATGTCAGAGGACTAAATATTATAATTTGTCATTTCTGTTGATCACAAAACGAACTACGTGGCACCATCTCGCCGTGCAGCGCTGTTACGTAGGGACGGAGCCTGACAACCGGGGCACTATTTTTATCCTCGTGGCAGATTGCCAAAGAGGGGGCACCTTGCCGGTTGGAAATGACACTGAGCGTTCCCCGTCTCAATCATCCGCAGCTCATTGTCACGCAGCAACGGGAGCCATAAAGCCGCGACGCATCGCTGCTCAAAGTAAACGGCGCCGCTGACTGAGGAGCCCGAGCAACTCGTCTTGTTCAGAAACGAACGAGCAAACACGGAGCCAAACTAGAGGGGGTTTGTTCAGACTAATGTTGGCTGTTTACAGAGCGAAGCTCCTTAGTGACGACCAACAAAGACAGAAAAGCTCATTTTAAAACAAAGAAATCATAAAAAGCTGAAACAGCCTTTAAGAGCCGTCTCGTTTCGATAAAAATAAATCAAAAACTATTTGAGTTTTTTTTTAAACTTGTTCATTTATTTATAATTTTCTTTGTCCAAAGTAAACAAACAAGTGATTTACTGGAGGTCTCGTGTGTTTCTGCTGCTAGGGGACAAAATCAAAGCATGTTTGAGTGAAAAGGATTTTCAAAAATGGTTCCAGGAAACCAGCAGACCCAACGGATGAACTCCGTCGTCAGTAAAGCAGCTCACATGTTGGAGCCGTTCTCACATCAGACGTTGCCTGGATTTCAAACACCCAGTTATTTTTATTATTTGTATCAGGGATAAACAATTTATTGACCATTTACCGTAAAATCAGAGAGTGACGTGTCAGGACTGCTGCGATATGATAAACCTTAGACCAGTTTAGTCTCTTTGCTCTGAATTGAAGCATCATGACGGCAGAGCAGAAGGAGAAAAGTGAGTGTTGGCAAACAATGAAAATGGTAGTAGTTGAGAGTTGTCCCCAGCACATACTCCAAGAGCTAACAGCTTGAGGAAGGCGGTGAGCGATGCGAGTTTCTTTAAACAATGATAATTATGTGAACGCTCACTCCGTGTGAACACTTGTTTTTCTGCTTGGCTTTTTTTTTCCTTCTTGTTAAGTTTTCCTCAATTTATTTCAGCATAGCATGTGCCGTTTTAGCCATTAGTAGATAAAACCTTCAGCTCATTCGGGAGATGAGTGCTATGACCATTGGTTTTTGGACAGTTCAAAAATATTTTACTTTATTTACAGTTATTTTACCCATAAAAACACATCAAGATCTCTTCAATTAAGAGAGACAGACAGGACAGGAGACCGGGGAGGGAGGGACGAACAGACAGACACTATTAATCCCTGGGGGTAAATTTGAAACATCCATTAGCAAAGAAATTATGATGGATCTTTGAAATCTCGTTCAGCATATACTTGCTTTATTTTGGTCGTCTTGCACCATTTTTTGCCACCAGTCTCCTACTCGATCCTAGCATTAGACCACTTTTAGCTCCTAAATAGCCTTGGGCTACTTTTTAATCAATAATATAGCTAGCGTTCTAATACTTTCAGCTAGTTTTGCTACTTCTGGCTTATATAGTTTTGCTACTTTTAGCTAGCTTTTTGCTACAGTACTTTTTATTAATCACTTAGATAAAAGTTTTGCTTGTTTAGCTAGTGTTTTAATACTTGTACATACAGTTTTGCTCCTTTTGGCTTTTATCTAGCGTTTTGCTCCTTTAAGTTTCTAGTTAAGACTTTTATTTTTAGCTTCTAGCTGGTCTTTTGCTAACTTTTAATTACTCAGTTAATTGGTTTGATTAATAACCTTAACTGGAAAAGGATTTGGACTTTACCAACCAGATACAGTACATGATAAATAATAAAGTAAGAGAAGTATCATTCAAAATTATTCACAGATTTAACCCATCCAAAATTTATTTACAACGGTTTAAAAAGGATATAAATATAATTTTTTTTTTTTGTGTGATGAAAACCCAGAAGATGTCTTTCATTTATTTTGGTCTTGCTCCTTCTCGACTCAATTGTGAAAAAGTATTTGTATTTTGATTTCTACTTTTAAAGAACCAGATCTCTCACTTTGCTTTGAACATGTTTTGTTTGGCTTCACTGACTACCCAACAGCTAAAGAAAAGCAGTTCTATATTATTAATCTTATTATATACCTACCCATGGCATATTCATAAATGTCATTACACTAATCAAAAACCTCTTATCTCCATTTCTGAAAATGAGGTCAAACAATACATCAAAACTATTAAATATTCCACCAACACAAAGGCCATTAAAACTTGAACCTTATGTGCGCTCTTTAATATATTTATGTAACATGGTATTGTAAATTATTGTCTCAGTGTTTGCAAACCCCTGGTGGCTGTTATTTCATTACTGTATACTGCATTTTATTGTACTGTTTTGTATAATTTCAATAAAGATAAAAAAAAAGTTAATTTGTTTGAAACTGGGCATCCCGGTGGCGCAACTGGTAGAGCTGCTGCCTCTCAGCGAGCAGGTCCCTTGGTTCAAATCCCAGTCTGGAGGCTTTTCTGGGTGGAGTTTGCATGTTCTCTCCGTGCATGCGTGGGTTTTCTCCGGGTGCTCCAGTTTCCTCCCACAGACCAAAAACATGCATGTTAGACTGAATGGTAACTCTAAATTGTCTCTAGGAGTGAGTGAGAGAGTGAATGGTTGTTTGTCTCGTTTGTCTCTATGTGTCCCTGTGATGGACTGGAGACCTGTCCAGGGTGTACCCCGCCCCTCGCAGTGATTGCTGGACATGGGCACCAGCGACCCCCGTGACCCAAAATGGAAGTGGGTAAAAGATAATGGATTGATGGATGGTTTGAAACTTTTTGCTAACATTTTGCTACTGTACCGTTGACGTTTAGCTAGTGTTCTACTTTTAGTTTTAATAACTGTTTCAGAAGTTTCAGTAAATTTTGAGTAAAGTCATTCAGCCTTCAGCGTTTGCTCGGTTTCTCTCGTTTTACTTAAATCTTAGTTTTAGTGAAAACACCAAGGAGCTCAGAGTTAATTTGTTCCAACAAACAACAAGCTGCTTCAATTGTATCTATTAAAACGCTCATTTGTCTTGTGTCTATCCAGATATTGTTATCTACAAAGTTATTTCCTCACATCTTGCATCATTTCAGCCACAGTCTGTTTGTTTTGTTTACACTTTCTGTGAACGTGTTTTAAAGCAGATAAATCTGTCCTGAAAAGGATTATTTAATCCCATTTGGACTCCTTTTAAACACAAGACACAAGGAAGCCCAACAAGACGAACAGACACCGAACACAAACCTGCAACATCGAACATATTTCCCCTCTCGATGGATCCCTCACCTTAAAAAGATGTTGTTGATCTGCTTCCTGATGAAGGCTCGCAGACCCAGGAATTTTCCATAAATCCGATGCAGAATAGTCTTCAGGAAGTCCCGCTCCCTCGGGTCCTCGCTGTCAAACAGCTCCAGCAGCTGCACAGACGAAGACAAAACCGCCGTCATTCCTCAGACACTTCGCGTACGCTTAATCACGACAACTCTACTCAAAGTAGATTCCAAGTTAGTTACAGTTAAAAGCCTTTCATGACTTAAAATAAAAAAAAATAAAATACTGTCACGCTAACCGAGACACCAATAGGAACATTATCAATCACCTGTTGAGCTAAACCAGACCATGACGCCTTTAATCCGACAGTTGGTGCGTTCACTTCATGACTCAGCACCTTTACTGCACTGCAAGCGGAGTTTATGATTACTCCTTCTATTTAGGATGTGAGGCGTCTTTATTTCATGTATAGAAGACAAATGTGATGAAAGGCTGAGAAAAAGCCTCATTAGTGATCCACCGCTGAGATTACAGTTTTCTCTGGATTGAGCACGAACAGATGAACAAGAAGAAAGGCTGACGGGCTGGAGGGCTTTTTCCAACGCAATCGTACAAACTGTGACAAATTGCAGTTGTAAACACGGCACTGATTTTTACAGATACAGATGTTATGCATTTACACAATAATTAACAAAAGGATGTTTTTCCATGTTCACATTAAGCTGTGTCTATACAGGTGCTGGTCATAAAATTATAACATCATGAAAAATTTTATTTATTTCAGTAATTCCATTCAAAAAGTCCAAACAGATCTCACTTGTAAATGAGTCTTTGAGGCTCAATGGGATTTATCCATTTAAATAAAGGTTGAATGAATATTCATTCATTATACATAGACTGATATATTTCAAATGTTTATTTCTTTTAATGCTGATGATTATAACTGACAACTAATGAAAACCCCAAATTCAGTATCTCAGAAAATTAGAATATTACTTAAAACCAATAAAAAAAAGGATTTTTAGAAATGTTGGCCAACTGAAAAGTATGAGCATGTACAGCACTCAGTACTTGGGGCTCCTTTTGCCTGGATTACTGCAACAATGCGTCGTGGCATGGAGTCAATCAGTCTGTGGCACTGCTCAGGTGTTATGAGAGCCCAGGTTACTCTGATAGTGGCCTTTAGCTCTTCTGAATTGTTGGGTCTGGCGTATCGCATCTTCCTCTTCACAATACCCCATAGATTTTCTATGGGGTTAAGGTCAGGTGAGTTTGCTGGCCAATTGAGAACCGGTATACCATGGTCCTTAAACAAGGTACTGATAGCTTTAGCACTGTGTGCAGGTGCCAAGTCCTGTTGGAAAATGAAATCTGCGTCTCCATAAAGTTGGTCAGCAGCAAGAAGCATGAAGTGCTCCAAAACTTCCTGGTAGATGGCTGCACTGACCTCGGACCTCAGAAAATGCAGTGGATCAACACCAACAGATGACATGGCCCCCAAACCATCACCAACTGTGGAAACTTGACACTGAACCTCAAGAAACATGTGTTCTGTGTCTCTCCTCTCTTCCTCCAGACTCTGGGACCTTGCTTTCCAAAGCAAATGCAAAATTTACTTTCATCAGAGAACATAACTTTGAACCACTCAGCAGCAGTCCCATGCGAGATGCTTTGGACGCTGACTCTTGTTCAAGAGTGGCTTGACACAAGGAATGTTACAGCTAAAACACCTGTCTTGCATATGTCTGTGCGTGGTGGTTCTTGAAGCACTGACTCCAGCTGCAGTTCACTCTTTGTGAATCTCCCCCACATTGAATGGGTTTTGTTTCACAATCCTCTCCAGGGTGCAGTTATACCTATTGCTTGTACACTTTTTTTCTACCACATTGGTTACTTCCCTTCACCCCTCTATTAATATGCTTGGACACAGAGCTCGGTGAACAGCCAGCCTATTTAGAAATTACCTTTTGTGTCTTGCCCTCTCAAGGTGTCAATGGTCGTCTTTTGGACAACTGTCAAGTCAGCAGTTTCTCCATGATTGTGTAGCCTACAGAACTAGACAGAGATCATTTAAAGGCCTTTGCAGGTGTTTTGAGTTAATTAGCTGATTAGAGTGTGGCACCAGGTGTCTTCAATATTGAACCTTTTCACAATATTCTGTTTTTCTGAGATAATGACTGGGGTTTTATTACTTGTCAGTTATAATCACCAACATTAAAAGAAATAAACATTTGAAATACCAGTATAATCAGTCTATGTGTAATGAATGAATATAATATACAAGTTTCACTTTTTGAATGGAATTACTGAAATAAATCAACTTTTTCATGATATTCTAATTTTATGACCAGCACCTGTATATTGTTAGGTGTGCAGGTTTTATCGTCACCTACCACCGAAGGCAAAAGGCTTTAACGTTTGAGTGTGTGTTCATTTGTAACGTAAGCAAAATCACTCATGAACTGCTGGAAACGTTCAGAAGCTAATCACTGCATGAACATCTGCAGCTGACTAACTTTTGGAGTAAACCCCATTTAAGATGGCCACCACAGCTCATCAGTGTTGGCAAACCCCCAAATGACTTTAACTCAGTCAGTTTTACAGATACCGAGCTGAGGTTTGGTGTGGTAGTAGCAGAGTCACGAAAATTTAATTTTCTGAGCACGATCACATCTTGTGAGATCGAACAATAGTTGTATGAGATCACGCATAATGTCATTTACAAGGTTTGATCAAAACAGCTCCTTCTTAGCATAATTTTAGTTAAAACCTCTGAAATGAAAGACAGCGGGTGATATGCAATCTGTCAAGGAATGTTAGGGCTCGATTCTTTACGGAGATGAGACGTATGCTGTAGGATTCATCATCCATCACTCCAAGAGATTTGTTGCCATTGTTAAAAAGAAAAGTTCTTCTTTAGTGTTCTGTGGTGGCTTTGAGGCAGACCTGCCTGAATGATCAAACCTTCTGTTTACCAGCTTCTTCCATCTTGTTGCACATACAGCACGTGTGTTTGAGTGCCCTTCCCTCTGGTACAGAGCAGCTATTTGCTGTAACACGTGATTACTCATCATAACAATACGGCTGAAGACAGTAAAGACACAGAGCATGCATCAGGATAAAGCCACAGAGTTCAAAAGAAATGCTCCGATGCTCACCTTCTATTTGAATGTTAGGAGCACCTTGGTCACGAGGAAGTTTTCTGTTTTTACTCCCGTGTAGAGCCAAGAAAAGGCTTTCATTATAACGGTGCTTGTTTTTCTTTTTTCTGTGGCATTGTGCTGATTCATATAATGTGTTTGGCTGCTCTACATTCCTCAGTTGTGTTGCCCAGTGAGTGAAATGTAATTGGAGATTAGCACAAGAACGTCAAGAGTTTGCAACATGTTTCAGTTTATCCCTGTTCCCTGAAAAGACTCGGAGCTCTGCAGTGAATTTTGAGGATTGTCGGAGATCCCGCTTTTTAAAAAAATCATGATGTGAGAAACATTTATGCCCTGAATCACCTAATGTGAGCCCTAATACCTTAATCAATTATAGCCTGAATGATCTCAAGAGACATTAAACCTTAGTTTACAGTTATATGTTGGGTTGACAAGGCGATGAATACTTTGAGTCAGTGAAGGAAACCGTTTTGTCAAAGAGGCAGACAAGAAAACAGAACTTGTAGGGCAGTATTTGTGGAGTTACATCGAGAACAACTTACTGTGCACATCTTACACGGATGGACAGATAGAGACAATGCAGGGAACAAGGGGTTTGACATTTCTTTGTTAATTGGATGTTAAGCTGGGGTATACAAGTTTTTAACAAAGAGGTCACCTGTGAGCTTGAAATCAATAAAGAACATTGTTGACCCATGAAGTGTCCAGCAGAGCAATTTGACATTTCTATGTTAAAGGGTTATTAATTTAGGGCAAGGGCAAAAAAGTGTCCACAGACAGTTGGACGGACGAAGCTCAAGACGTATAAAAACAACTTGAGGAACAAGACGAACACAGCAGGTTTTCTTTCCTGCAATAAAAAGCTGAGGCGTCAAACACACAATGGTATTTCTGGTATGAAGTCTCCAACCCTGTGCTGTAATAAAACTAAATATTGAAAATATCCAATTAAGACTTTATATCGTCCCAACTCATTTTTTTAAATGACTCAGAACTGTATCGAGGATAAAAACATCTTCAGTTCTAACAAAGTAATACGTAAGCCTAATTTTTTAGCTCCAGATACGAGACAATTTTCTTAAAAGACTCGACTCAAGCCTTTTAATTCAGTTCAATTCAGTTTATTTATATAATAGCACCAAGTCATCTCAGGGCACTGAACAGAAACATTCATATACATGAAAAATTAACATTATCTGAGGAGCAGACTGCTTTGAGTTTAACTTCATCACAGACTCATCTTGAGCAAGCATGAAGGAGACAGTGGAAAGGAAAAACTCTCAGGAGGAAGAAACCTTTAGCAGAACCAGGCTCAGGACAAGCAGCTTCGACCGGCTGGGTTTGAGAGGAACAGATACACAATGGCAGGTCAAGCATCACATAGATAGAAATAATATCAAATGAAAACTATTCAATTTTAACAATTAATTTAAGGAAATGAGGTCAATTTGTCCTCGAGTAGTCTATGCCTATAGCAGCATAACAAGCCAACCCTAACTATAGGATTTATCAAAAAGGAAAGACTTAAGCCCAGTTTTAAAACTGGACAATGTGTCAGCCTCACGGACAGAAACTGGAAGTTGGTTCCACAAGAGAGGAGCCTGATAACTGAAAGATCTTCCTCCCATTTTGCTCTTGGAAACTCTAGGAACCGCAAGTAAGCCTGCAGTTTGAGAGCAAAGTGCTCTGTTAGTAAAATATGTCACAATAAGATCTGTAATATAAGATGGAGCTAGGTTGTTGAAGTATTTGTAGGTTAGAAGTAAGATTTTGAATTCATTGAGATAAATGTTTTGTGTCTTGGCATGTCATTTAATGTAAAATGAATACATCTATAAATCATAAACAACAACAATCATGCTTGGTGCAATTAGTTTTCAGAGTTACATAAACATTCTGAGCAACAGTAGCGCTGAGCTGATCGATGACAACGAAACAGGATATGGACTCTGGGTCTGTCTCTCTAATGAAATGAAAGCAGCCTCAGTTTGATACAGGCGTGCTGCTTCTGCCTGAGGGAACATCAATATTAAATCACAGCAGGTCACATCAGGACCCGAGTTCTACCAGGAGCCCGATCGACATACAACAAAGTCATCAGAGGCTCTCTTTACGACAAAGCCCTAAACAGACATTAATAAACAACGTGCTGATGCATTTCAATTTAACAAATCTTTATCACTCAGTTTTATGGTGAAAAAGGATCATACTTTCAGTTATTACGATCACAAACTGGGCCTAATAACTTCTATTAATCCAACAATTTTATACTGTCATTGTAAGATGTTGGGTCAAAATTACTTTTTACTGGGAGAGCAGCATTGTTTGTGTGTCTGATCCTCCTACAGATACTGGTTTTTTTTTATAGATTACCAACAGTGCAATGAAAAGTCTTAAGCATTGAATGCAAGTGTTTCAAAAACATGCAACAAAGCAAAGATTTTAGATAATCTGAATTAAAAATAAAACTTGTTTGTCAGCTTAAGAGCATTCCTGTCAGAAACTATCTGTAAAGATGAACATATTGTTTTAGTTAAACTTTGTTTTTAACAAAACGATAAGAAAAGGAGTCACTGAGTTAAAGTACAAAAGAAAGTATGATTTTTTTTAAAAATTATTTTTATGACAAAAATCCACTTTATAAATGTTGGAAACAATGGTTGTTTTTAATCCGCACAGCACCGAGGTGTAAATTAGCTTAAGCATTAAAAACATTATTCCTTACTTTGAATTTACTAATGTTATGTAAACACAACGGCTTGCTGTAAGAAAACAAAAATATCAAATTAAAACCAAATACCAGCAGATGTCAAATGTTAATTTGATACTTGAGATGCTTTTTTAAATTGAGTAAAAACAAAAATCTTTATTGCAAAATTCCCGATAAATAAAAACTAAAACGGATAAAGGATAAATCGTTTGTTTTAAACTCGTTCACCCTACCATCTGCCTTTAAAGTTACAATCACAGTCTAATTTGAAACATAATAAAAGATTAAAAACTAATGACCCCCGCGACCTGAAAAGGAAGAAGCAGGTAAAGATAATGGATGGATGGATGTTGAACTCAGGTTTCTGAAAATGCTCACATTACGCTAAACTAAAATGTCTCATGGCAACATAAAAAAACCTTTAAACACGCCCTGATCACGTGTCCAGCCACATGTTTCACATGTGGTTATTTCCCAGGACGATGGCCGTTTTCTCCAGCAGCTGTGCGGAGCACGAGACCATCCAGTAACACCAGAACAGCTTAAACCAAAATAAACTTGTAAGGTAAAAACCAGGCAGTTTACTCTACTTTGGATTTTTCTTGTGAACCTCTGAAAGCTTCTCCCCGACACACTTTGGCTTCGTCACATCTCAGCGGGGAACTGCGAGGATCTCCTCCCACGCCGTGCGCTTATTAAGATAATTTACCCTAATCAGGATTTGTTTTCCCTCCTGTAACACCAGCCAAACCTCCACCTTGTTCTCTTTGCCCTCACCACACTCAACTTTTCTCCTACCAAAGAGTAAACAACAGGCGGCTATTTAAAGCTCCCAAACGACACTCGCATCATGGAAAGACGGAGCAGGCACCTCGGATGTGGCCCGGCTGACATTCCAGACCTTATAATGCCTGTTGGCGGCTGCTGTGCAAGAAGTGAAACATTCCTTCAGTAGGTGGGTGCTAAACATGAACATATGGAGACGGGCGAGAGCAGACTGACATATCTGCAGAAGACTTACTGAAGGCTGGTGACGAGCGGTGGTAAATATGGACAAACTCAACACATATGACAACACCAAGTTGCAGAGAAATCGAAAAATTTGCAGCTGTAGGTACAAAACTGAAATGAAAACTTCTGGGGGAAAAAGGTGCCCACCTGCAGAACAAACTTCTGATCGATGTGTCTCTTTGCGATGCTGGGTTGAAAGTCTGGATTCTCTAAGAAGCGCAGCAGGAACTCGTACACCAGCTGAAAAAAACCGAATAGGAATAAACACTCGACTACGATTCTACACACACAACTATGAAAGACTACGAGTTTCCAGCAATTACTGACAGAAGCTATGTTTACATGTGCAAAATTCTTTGACCGGATTGAAATGTTCTCAGATTAAATAATCCGAATGTATCGTTTACATGGGCACAATCTGTTCACGACGAGCGTTTACATGCAGCGGGGTTTTATTCTGAACAGAAGTACTGATGTGCGCAGAGTGGTAAACTCGCCTTAAAAAAAAAAACACAGAAGAAGAAGTTCTACTTCCACTTTACTTTCAGGATGAACGTAAACAAACCTGTGCGCCCAAAATGGACCCGCGACAGGTTTTCATGACGTGGAGACGTTACTGCACTCCCTTATTGAGCTACAGGTAACACAGATTATTTTGAGCTCTTTCAAAGTTTTTAGTAGAAATGTTGCGTCGTTCACTGACCAGTTTTGCTTCCGCGACATGCTAGTTTTATTGTTGTTATTACACTACCGTTGATATATATATATTTTTTTTTACTAGCCTTATTGCATAGGTCACTTTACCTACACCAATATCAAGGATTTCATACATACACTGTGTACATTTACTTCATATGCTGCTTTGCCACTTACTACAAATATCAATGTCAGGACCTTCACTTCATTTCATTTTATTTTATAGATATAATTAAAAAAAAATTTTAATACCGCTATAGTACAATTTAAGACAGTATCATACTTTTATTATTTCCTTTTATGCTTATGTTTATTAAATGTTTTAATGTTAAATGGTTATTGTTGTACCGGGGTCTGAGAGTAATGTAATTTCAATCCTGTGTATGTCCTGTACATATCGCAGTTTTTGACAATAAAGTGACTTTGACTTGATGATTATTAGCATTAGCCAGGCGGATGACATGGGTCGCACATGCGCAGTTTGGTCAGTTTTTCACGATCGGGAAAAAAAAATGAAGAGATTAAGTGTTTACATGCACACTTTTCGGATTATGAATCGGCATAAACCACCTGTCTCATTCCGATTACAAATTCTTTCAGATCGAGCTGAATAAACAAAAAATTATCCGAATGAGGCGTTTACATGATGCATTTTTATTCCGAATGGCCGTTTAATCCGATTACTTGTGTCCATGTAAACACAGCTAGAGTGAAGCGTCAAAACATACCTGAATATGAGGCCAGGAAGCTTCTAGAGTGGGTTCGTCTTCTTCTGGGTCAAAATCTGGGTTATCACTTGGAGGAAGAGCCCGGAAAACATTAGTAGTGATCTGAAAAAAACAAAAAACAAACAAACAAAAAAAAAAGTAGTTGTTTAAATTAGTCAAAAACAAATAAACATGAAAGACGACAGAAATTTAACATATATTTCTGCTTTTTAAAGTTACAGTTATTATAAATGATCATTTTGGCTGTAGTCAGATTACAAAGATGTGTTTAAACATTAATGTGTGATTCATTCATTCATTCAACCTTTATTTAGACAGGTTAATCCCATTGAGCCTCGGGGACTCATTTACAAGAGAGACCTGATTTTAACAAAGAGTGATGACAACAGTAGACAACAAAGACTACAATAGATAATCATACAGGATGCGTACAAATTGGGAATAACAAGTGAAAGTAAAATGGTATTAAAAAAATGTAACAAAAAACATAGGTTGTAAGGTGATGTCTAATTCTGTACTGAACCATGACAGCACAGTTTGAAGTCTGTGCTTAAAGATGATACAAGTAGGAGAGAAGACATATCTACAGAAGATTAACAGCATCTGAAAGACGAGTCTTAAAAACAAATAAACCCAACAAGGACCTGTCAAGACCTGACAGATGGATCACTGATTGCACAACAAGTTTGCACCTCATAGATTGTTGGTCTTCTTCTTGGTGTAAAAAAAAACAAACATTTTCTGTCACAATATTTTCTGCATTTTTATGGATTCAGCTTAAGAAATTGGCATAACCTGTCTGTTATAGGGTCTTAGAAACAAATTGTGCAAAAAAAATCCAATATAATCGTCGTCGTTTAGTCATTGGACAAACCACTGGCACATCCCTTTGTATGCCTGAATGATTCATAGGTCAGAATAAAGTGGCCTAAAAAAAGAAAAATCTTCTGAATATGATCAGCTACTGGATCTAAATAGGAGTGAAAAATCAGCCAAGGTCCAAAGAACAACGTCACATAAACCTTTATTTAAAAGCCTGCTGATGAAAATCACTTTACCGTAGTTATTGAACGTCTCCTTGAAAACAAAACAATAAAACTTGAGGGATAAATCGAGACTTTTGCACGCACTGTACGTTTCAGCCCAGCAGGGACTATTTTTTCTCGATGTATTATTCAGCACAACCAGTTATGTATTCAGCCTCCGGGCTTTCACACCTGCCTGTAACAGCGGGGCTTCTGGAGTGATATTCAATCTCCGTTTCCTTCAGCACAAATAGCTCCAAACACAACTAACTCAGGCCTCCCTTAACGTTTATCAGTCCTCTTTGTGTACAGCACGACTGAGAGCTTTAAATTATTTAGGAACGCTGAGTCAAGCATTCAGATTATCGCTTTACTATTTCTAGTTTCTTCCGTATGTTTTTTGGAAACTACTTCCTCATACTTTGTGTTATTGTAACCTTTCATAAATCAAAATGTTCTGGCTGGTTGGGAATAATGTGCCATCAGGTTTGGTTGCTGTAACAACTATACTTATTGAAAACAAAACTTCCCATAGAAAATATGCTGAGATTTCCTTTGGTTCATACAAAACTGCTTTTTTAATCTGCACTGGCATTTTTGTCTAATGCTACTTGTAGCTTTTTAGCTACTGTTCTGCTTCTTTTAGCCATCATATATCCTTTTAGATATGGAGAGGGGGAGTGGTGGCACAGAGGCTAGAGAAGGCGAGCCTGTGATTGGAAGGTCAAAGGTTCGAACCCCCAGACGGACATACAACATCAAAATGTGGGTGGGAAAGGTGAAGCACCCACACCTGCCTCCACCTTCATTTGCCCCACTCTGGGCCCTTGAGCAAGGCCTTAACCCCCACAATCTGCTCCCCTGGGCACCCTGGTTGGCAGCTCTGTGCTCCACACAGAGGGCTGTGGTAGCTCGGTGGTCTGTGGTTGTGTCAGGAAGGGCAACTGGCATAAAAACAATTGCCAAGTTTTTGTGCAAGTTTGCTTGCTGTGGCAACCCCTCAAGAAGGAAGCAGCCGAAAGAAGAAAAAATAAAATTTCCTTTTAGATATATACGTTTGCTATTATTTAGCTGAATTTAGCTATAACATGTTCTATGTTTATTTAAGTTTGTGTTGCTAATTCAAGCTTTTAGCTCCAGTTTTAACATTTTGCCAATTTTAGCATCCGTTTTGCTCATTTTAGATGCTATTTTACACATTTTTACTCCTAGCTAAAGTTAAGATGCTTACTGTTCTACAGCTTTTAGCTAGCTTTGTTGCTTTTAGCTTGTACTGTTCTGCTACTTTGGGAGTGTTTCGTTCTCAGCTCGTTCTGTTGCTTTCAGATCGTGTTGTCCTCATTTTAGCTGATCTGTTTGTTGTGACTTTAAAACTCGGTTTTAGCTCCTTCTGCAAATTTCAGCTCAGTTATTTAGCAGTCAGCATTCACGTCACATTTTCCTCTAGTTAGTCAAGCATCTCCGACACCTGAAGTCCCTGAATAATTTATGTGATAAATAAGCTGTTTCTAAAACTGTAAATAAACCCTAAAACAAGCCAACACATTAGCACTGTGGAAACTTGGGAAGTGGAAAGGACAGCAACCTTTCTTCTGGACAATCTCTGAGCATTTTGAGGATATTTGTTGCTGCTTTAGAAACAGAAAACTACTTGGTAAAGCATTACAGATTCAGCATCTGTCACAACACCCTATTAAAATTCTGCACCAGAGACAATCACTGCAGACAGGTCACTGCCACCTCCATCCCGCTTTTGTTATTTTTAGTCAGGGTAAATTTCAGAATGACACACGCAGCAGCAGCAGGCAGCTGGAAAAGGCAGTATTATGTAATTGGATGCACAACCTCATGCTGAAGTGATAAAGGCAACATGAAATTAACTATTGGCAGCTGGAAAATCCAGCTGACACTAATGGGAGAGGAAGGCAGCGGCAAAGGGACTTAAACCTCAGCAGCAACCCAAATTCTGACACGCTGAAACTCTACTAAAAAGAAAAGATAAAGCTTTCAGTTTGAGTATAAGTTCTGAACAATCAGGTTTAATTACCATGGATAAAAAAAAAGGTATTTACAGACAAACAATAATAAAAGCTGGGTAATAAACTAACAATAATCCAATGTGTTAAAGTAGCTTCTAAAAGAACTTAATGTTATAAGAAGTGTTTGCTGTCAAATTGTTTTTAGGTTGTTATGCGCATTTTGCCTACCTAGATAAAGTGGATGGAAATAAGTTAGTAACTAAATCTGACACATTGCATCTTTCTCTCATAAGTATGATGTTTTTTTGTACAAAGTCCCTGCTCAATAAACTAAACTGAATGGTTTAGATGCAGCATGGACTCACATCAATCCTACCTTGTAAGGACTGTGTGAAAATGGGAAGCTCCCTGCCAAGGCTTGCAACATCTGTTTCAAAGCACAGCTGCTTTAGTTTTGTAGCAACATGACAATGTGCACGTGGAGTTTGCACGCTTGCACTCAAAAGGCCACTTCGTGCATGGCCCAGACTGTTCAAGACGTTGAATTAAAATGACCAAATATGTTCTGAAAAACAGGGTAAATGCTGAATTTAAAATTATTTATACTCCAGGTTTTGATGCACTCAACAATGTTTATGTTGCTTTGACAAAGAAGATAGACGTTTGTATTATCAGCTGAAACAAATAGTAAAAGTTAGCTCTTCTGCTGCCTCTGCTAAGAGCGGTTAGCTGCCATTTCATCGCTCGTTACATTCCTTTTACTTTGGAGGAGTCCTACACAGCAGAGCAGCTGTTTGTCAGTTGATGAAAACACCATCTGCCAACATCGAGCATTTATTTATTTATTTCTTAAACGCAGCAGCAACACGACCTGTTGACTCCCTGCAGTGTTCATTCAGCACAATTACATCTGACAAGTTTCAGACTGATTGCTTTCATAGGAACTTTGGAGAAAAGATGCAGCGAAGTCACATTTAAACACTTAAACACATTATCTGAAAGCCTTTAAACTCGTACATCTAACTCTGTTTAATATTTAATGCTTCTGTGCCAATTAGGCAAAAAAATGTAGTTTAACAAGAAGATTTATGCTTCAATTAATTATCAATTACTTTGAAATACCAAAATGACTAAACTCCATCCACCAAGATGACAACACTCACCCCCACCCCACCACAGAGTGGAGTTTATCAGAGACTACCTCCAGCACTTGGGATGGAACGGACGCCCTGAAGTCGTGACTTTGATCTTGTTGAACACCTGTAGGATCAGGCTGTTCGTTCCAGAGTGACCAATATGATCATATTTGTTATGTTTGGAAATGCAGGAAATGCTCATCAAAGATGGGATACCATCCCACAGCGATGTGTGACCAAGCGGTTGATAAGCATGAGGAAGAGGTAGGTACCAGGCTGTTGTGGCTGTGTATTGTTCTTCCACATGCTACTAAGACCCTTGTTTGTTAAAGGAATAAATTGTTAAATTACCACCATGTCTTATTTCTTCTAGTTTAAATCATCCGATCCAATAAACACCAAACAAAAGCCAAAAGCAGAATGAGCTGTTTGGCATCGACAGCAAACACTGGGCAAGTTTTTCACGAGTGCAACCCACATACTAAACTCTGCTGCTCAACCCACCAATGCAGCTTCCTTTCAAATGTGGCACCATATAAGCAGAAATCAACAGACTTTCCAACTGTATAAGATTTATTGCAAAGAAGCATTGTTATAACAAAAATATAATTGAACAAACACATTTTCTTGCTTGCTGTGCTGATTTAAGACTTGCAGAAAACTCAAACCGCATTAAAGCTTTATACCGTAAATGCTGCTGGGTCTAAGCTTAGTATGGCAAATGAAATGTTGCAAATGGTAAATGGACTACACTTATAGAGCACTTTTCAATCTTATCAAGATACTTAAAGCGCTTTACAACACAACCTGTGCCCTCATTTACCCATTCATACAGCACCCTACTAGATCTCTTCAAAGCTAATCTGAATCTGTAGAAACTAATCAGTGCTTTATCATGTTCATATACCAACACACATCGGAGGCAATGAGGGGTTCAGTGTCTAGCCCAGGGACACTTGAGC